GTTACATGAAGTAAGTCAGAGAAAGACAAATACCATATAATTCACTTATATGTGAAATCTAAAAAACAAAACAATTGAAGTATAAACAGACCCATAAATACAGAGAAGAAACTGGTAGTTGCCAGAGAGGAAAGGAGTGGGGGATGGGGAAAATGAGTGAAGGACAGTAGGAGATACAGGCATTCAGTAATGGAATGTGTAAGTCATGGGGATGAACAGAACAGTATATATAGGGAATACAGTCAGTGGTACTGTAATAGTGCTTTATGGGTGACAGATGGAAGCTCTACTTGTGGTGTGTGTAGCAAAACACAAAGAGTTGTTGAATCACTGTGTTGTACACCTGAAACTAATGCAGTATTGTGTCAATTATACATCAAAAAAAACAAAAACAAAAACAAAAACAAACATCCTTACTTAAGCATCATTTTTCATGACCCTCATTTTTTTTTTGCTTGGTTTTTTTTCTTGGTTGAAGTGAACATATTTTTTTTTTCTATTGCTCTTACTAAAAAAAATAGCTTTTATTTTATTGATCTTCTCTATTATAATTTTCAATTTCTACTCTTATCTTTATTACTTTCCTCTATACTCAGGTTTCTTTTCTCAAGGCAGCATTAAATTTTTAATTGTGTCTCAAAGTTAATCTGTTAGATTCTCATTTATTTATTTCTAAAGTGAAAATTCATAGAAAATAATGCTTTTACCAATATTTTTGATTTAAAGGAAATCTGAGCACAACTTTATGAGTTAATTAGAGCTGGATCAGTAAAGTCATAATGAATCAATTATCAGAAAGTTACTGGTTAAAATAAACATATAAGTAGAGTTTGCAACTTTAAGTGATAAATGGTTTCCTTCAACAAACATTCAGATAAATGTACTTTTCCATAAGAGTCATTTTTAGTGTTAAAGTTGTAAGTCAAAACTCTTGAAACTATTCTAATAAATCTTTTAATATTCTAAGAAAACTCCTAATCCATGTTAGCAATAAACTTATGAAGAAACTTAACCTTATAATAAGTGAAACAAATTAGTATAGATTAAACTGTATCTACATCAAGTTGTTATGTCTAGCTGAGTGTTTATCTTTTCAAAATATCCCTATCAATCGTCCCTCATTTCCTCAATTTTCTTACTAAGTTTGTACCTAAAGTTCTGACCAGAAATGGAGTAAATATTAACTTTACAGTTTTGTTTCCACTGTTGTATTATTCCTTCACTAGTTTCCTGTGTTGGAAATGTAGCTTGTGAATTTTCCATTTTCTTTTCTTTTGGGGGATAGTAAAGCTATTAATTTCTCTGTATATAGTGATTTAGCTGCATTCCGTAAATTTCATATTTTCACTACAGTTCAATTCCAAACAATTCTTAATTAATATGTAAATTTTTTCTTTGGCTGATGTGTGACTTAAAAGAGTGGGGTTTTTTTGTCTTGGTTTGATTTAATTTTGACTTTCTAGATGTCTGCACATGTATTGTGGGGGGGTGTTAATTATTATCTCTCATAACTGATTTTTAAGTAACTTAAATGCACCATGTTAAACAAAATTCTATACCGATTTGCTTTCTGACCTAGTTCTTGGTCGGTATTTTTTCCAGCATTCTTTATTGAATAGTAAGTTTTCCAAATATTATGAAAATCCACCTATTCAATAAGGCATACTAATTTCTCTGTTCACTAGTGTTTATTTTTTTGAGTCTTCTTACTAGATTAAATTTTCTTATTTCCCCAAAGAGATTCCTTGGCTAAAATTTCATTAATGACTAATCAAATTTGTCTAAAAGGGTCTTTATTTTACCCTCACATATGAATGTTTATTTCTGGGTAAAGGATTCTAAACTGGCAGTTATTTTCTATAATAATTGTGAAGATATTTACGAAGTTTTCTAATTATTTTTGTTTGAAGGTAATATATCTTAAGATAGTTTCTTTTTTGGTTCCACTGTTTTAATTCACAGGTATCTGGCAGTAGATTTATTTTTGTTTCCCTTCCTAGGACTTGAGATTTCTAAGTCTGAGGATTGATGTCTTTTTTAAGATATGGAAAATTTCCAGACATCATTTCATTAAAAATTGCCTGTCTTCCATTTTTTGCACCTTTTTTTCCTAGAATGAACAAGATAGAACACAAAAATAAATCTTTGCATTTCATCTTATCTCATCTCACCCAACACCTTAGCATCAAAACACAGAGCACCTGGCTACCAGGTCCAGAAACTGACCTCTGCCCTGAATACTTCAGCGTCAGTTTACCCTCCTCAGTTTCTGTTTACATTCTGTGTTCAGTGGCTTTACTTTGGGCCCCTGGGGATCTTTCATACTTTCTTATAAGCTCAGTTATGTAATTAAAACAGTATTTGTTATAATTTATAGAAGACTTCTGGGTGATTTTTAGTGGAAATTCTTCATGTTATCTAGTTTTTTACATTTCAGGAAATGGAAGTCAAGACTTTTAATCTTAAAAAAAAGGATTTGATTATGTTAATAAGTTTTAAAACATTTAGTACAGGTATAGGTGTTGAAAATTTTAGAAAATGTATCTGCTACTAGGTTTGAATCAAAAAGCACTATCCAGTTGACTTGTTATTTGCTTTTTCTAGTTTGTTTTCATCATTCTTCTGTCTTGTGATAAACAGGAACAAAAAGAAGTTTTCTATGCTAACTAAGATTAAATAACATTGATTCTTGGGGCACCTGGTGGCTCAGTGGGTTAAAGCCTCTGCTTTTGGCTCAGGTTATGGTCCCAGGGTCCTGGGATGGAGCCCTGCATCTGCTCTCTGCTCAGCAGGGAGCCTGCTTCCTCCTCTCTCTCTCTGCCTGCCTCTCTGCCTGCTTGTGATCTCTGTCTATCAAATAAATAAATAAAATCTTTAAAAAAAAAAAAACATTGATTCTTTTCAGATGGGAATTCTAGACTTGACACTCTTCCAGATACATTGCTCACAATCTTAATTTAGATCTCTTTTATCTAAATGGTTTCATATAGACTGTGCTTGTAGTATGTATGACCTGATGATGGTTTTAAGACCCAGTCTCAAATTTACCCACTTCTTCCCATCTTCTTTTTATATATTTATGTACTTTGGGATCTTTCTCACTTCAATATTTACATAACACGTATAGTTTTTACATCAACTGTATCCCACAACTGTTTTCTGGTGATTCCAAGGTTTCTGACTTTACCTTCCTACATATATAAACTCCTCCAGAGCAAAAACAGTACTTAAGATTCTCTCTCACACTGCTTCTCCATAGAGCCGGTCCACACGACAGCCAAAGGCAAACAAAGTTAAAGAACTGTTTGCCTCAATAACTTTACCTGTAACAGGAGTTTCACTAACACCAATAAGTAATAGGAAACTAAAGCAATGAAGGTTTGCGTAACTATCCAAATCCTTAGTGTTTCATTGTTTAATTCCTGCTGACGCACCACCTTGTGGAAGGAAAGATTTAAGAGTGGGGGTGGGCGGGATGGGGAGGAGTATCTATGAATCAGTCACAAAACAAGAGAAAGAAAGCTAGAGGAAGGAATAGTATTCCTGTTGTAGAGATTCCAAAAGTGTCACTTGTAATTCCATTCTCAAGCTTAGAATTCTCAGACTGATTAAAACCATCTCAGAAAAAGTTTTTGAGTACTTGCTATATATCAGGTAATGTTCCCAGGCATTTGTTATACAGTAGCAGACAAGTTCTACAAAAATCCCTGCCCTTACAGAGTTGGTATTCTAGTTAGAGGTTAGAGATAAATAAATATGTGAATACACAAATAGATGAATAAACATAACGTATGACATGCCAGAAGTGCTGTGAAGAAAAATGTGAGCAGGAAAGGGGGCCAGGGGTTAACTAGGGGAGACTGTCATTTTAAATAGGATGGTTAGGAAAAGTATCACTAAGCAAGTGACGTTTGAGCAAATAGCGGGCCGGAGGAGGAAGCCATGAGGGTATCTGAGAGAGGAGTGCTCAAGGCAGAGAAAGTTGCAAATGAAGAAACACAGGCAAAAAGGATCTGGGATGTCCAAGAACTAGGAAGAGAGTACTGCGGTAAGAGCTAGATAAGCAAAGGGGAAAACTGTCAAAATGGAGGGTAAAGGGTCCATGGAAAGGGAGAGCAGGAAGATCCCAGAGAGTCCTGGATATCACTATAAAATGTGAAAGCAAAGTCACTGGGAAAGATCTGACTCAGATAACGAGCCACTGGAAGAAATTTTAGAGTAGGATTAGACAAGTATTTCAAGCAGAAGAGAATGGCAAAAACTGAAGGTGGCTGAGGTTTAGAGTTTTGGGTTTGTTTTTTTTGTTTTTGTTTTTGTTTTTGATGAAATAAATTATGGTATGTTTGTATACTGATGGGCAGGATCCAATTAGAGAAGCAAAAATAGGTGAATAAAATCTACACAAGAAAGGGGGAAATTGCTGTAGTGGTTACCTCTACTAGAAGAGAGGAGGAGAGGTCTGATGTGGATTAGAGGGGCTGGTCTCAGCCATCTCCAGAGTCCTGGTCACCCATGGTAACAGGCGGGAGGCAGGGTGCAGAGGGCTTCATGGCTGAGGGCCATGTAAGAGCATGAGTAAGTTCTCTTCTACTAGGTTCATTTTCTCTTTGAACTAGGAAGCAAGGTCAGCTAAGAATGACACTAAGGGAAGAGGTTTTGGGGGTTGGTGTAGAGAAAGAGAAGAGACCTCCCAGCAGGCTACAGGAGGCTACACAGAGTACTAATGAGAGGGTTCATAGTTCAGCTCTGTCACCTACCACCCATCGGCTGGGTGACCCTGGGCCAATCTGTAAACGTCACTAAACTTGTTTCCTCTTAGGCAAAATGAGGATCACGGCTTTGTGGCGAGGATGAAGAGAGATCATGTAAAAGCAATTGCTGCTACCACTAAATGACCACACTGGGCACATGTTGGCTTTTGACTGCTATTATGGGGTAGGCACTCCATTGTGTATCAGTGAAAGGAGAGGTTGTAATATTTTATGTCCACTCTCTTTCAGGAGGTTTGTCCTCACCAAGCTTCGAGTCATCCCAAAAGGAGCATTTTCTGGATTTGGGGACCTGGAGAAAATGTATGTACCCGACAATACTACGTGTGAGTGCCTCAACCGGGCTGTGGGCAGCTGCCTCACATCATATCCAGTGTGATACTCAGAAGCCAGACAACCTTCTGAACTTCCTCCCATCTTCTTTCCTAGTAATGGGGAATCTTTCAGAGTGTGGCTGTTGAGATGAGCCTAATGTCAGTCTAAGCAATCCTCACTTTTTCTTCTCAAAGGCATTGCTCCCAAGTACCTGGGAGCTGAATTTTTATAAACCAAAGCTAATTTTCTCTGCTCATACCCAGGGATATTGTTTATTATTTCTGATTAAGTTTCAATTAACAGTGGGGCCTAACATTTGTGTTTGAGATTCTAGAGACTTCTCTTTCCCAAGCCACACTGACAGGTGGTAATTGATATATCAATAATATTTTAAAAGCAGTAGGAAAGTTTATAGCACTGAAGGAGATTTCCTTTGAAAAGAGAAGACCCCTCTGCTAATGCAAACATTTGCTCCTTACTGAACTAGTTTAATGTAGGCATCTCCCCAAACAAGCTTTTCTCAAAATGAGGCATAAGAGGAAAAAGTACAATAACTTCTTCCATGTTTAAAATAACCCACTCTTCCTTTGAAGGCTCCTGATCCCATCTCCCAGGCCTCAAGGGCCAGGAAAATCTGTTCTTCACCACAGTGGCAGCCAGAAGTTAAACACCAATAAATATAGCAACAGATAGATGGATTACACAGGAGGGAAAAAAATTTTTTTTCATTGTAAGAAGAAAGCAACCCCCCAGGTTACATGCAGTTCTCTTTCTTAGAGCCATTCCATTTTCCTCTTGCTTCTTTCACCCCTGTTTAAGAATATTTGCTGAAGTCGGAGGAAGCAGGAGAGAAACCCATTAATGAAGGAAATATAAAGCAGAGAGAATGGCGATATGTCTCAGCAATTACAATGCCCGCTGAGAGGACGGTACTCAGGATCCTGGATTGGAGAGCTCGCTTCAATACAAACTTACAGTGTGACCTTGATTAAATCACTGTATCTCTCAGGCCTTTGGTTTCCCCATCGGTGGGTCATGGAAGGAGTTTTGAAAGAAGGGAACAGCTTATGTGATTCCTAAGTGTAAGGATCCCCAGCTGGAGGAGAGCCCATTTTAAAACCTGCCGTCTTCAGGGTTTACCTTCTTGAGGACATCAACACTTATAGGACTTAGGAGATGGGGCACTCTTTGGAGTAGAGTTCACCAAAGGAAAGAAGGAAGCAATAGAGTTGGAGAGCTTTCTGCTCAAGGTGTATTCCTCGACGGGTGAGCCATTGCCCTGCCTGGAAGTGACATGAGCTAAATAACAAGCCTATCTGATATGCCTTGTCCCCAAGCAGCCCTGTAACTGCATATAAATTGTGCTAAAGGGAGGAATACCAGATACCACAAATAATCCACCTTAATCACATTCAATCCAGCCGATATGAGTGACCCCTCATTGGCTGTTCACCACCAGCTGGGACCTTCCAATAAAAATAAAAGTTGTTAAACTGGGCCGATAGAGCAGTAATCCCAGAGGCAGGGCAGCTGGCTCACAAACTCCTCAACTTCCTCAAACACAGCTTGTCCATTTCCACTGCTGTCTCCATTAATCAGCCTACACTGACACAGCAAGATGCCTAAAACAAAATTAAATTCATCTCATTTCTTTTCAATGCTTTTTGTATCCCAGAGTTTCAAAAACATTGTGTAGTGGAAGGCCTGGCACCAAACTGAACTCTGAAGAGACTGTACCCTTCAGTCTCTATGCTCCCCTTCATCCACTGTCTCACCTTCTACTCTTGGTCAGTGATGAGTGCTCATCTCCTCTCTCATCTCCTTCCCTGTATTTCTGTTCTTCACTGAGTTTTTAGCCAGTTTCCTGAACTTAGTAAGCATTGGCTTCCTCTTCAATATCTCCCTCTCCATGGAGCATAAAATCCCTTTGATTCATTCTGCACATGTGGCAAAATTTTACCTCTCCTCTTTCTTGCCACTCCCACTCTTGTGAAAGAACAGGGGCATTCACTGCCCCCTTGTCTTCTTTCACTCACTCCTCAGCCAGCCCTCATGATATTGGACCACAAATTCTCTAACACCATGTAATTATTCTGTGAAAGTTCCCAACAGATGGAACAGCCGGACTCATGACTTCTACTTTGTGTTCTTCGTACTTAACTTACATGCAGCTTTTGATGTCATTGACTATTCCTGCCATTCTTCCTAATACTTTTTCCCCTTCCCACTTCGGGGACACCACACCCTCCTGCCCACTCTGCGAAGCTTCCGGACCACTCCATAGATGATTCTTTCCATCTTTCTTGTTCCTTAGCTGCCCCTCAGAAAATCAGATTTCTGGGCTCCATTTTGGCCATTTTCTTTTTTATATTATTTTCACCATCCCTGATCATTATATATCAAATGACACCCTAGTATCAGGGCTCCTAAATGACAAGTGCCTCAAATATAATACATCCAGATTAGCTGTCTTTATTCTTAAATTACTCATCTCCCCACATTGCCCAGTGAATAGCTTTACCACGTTGAGACTCCCAAGCAGGAAAATTCAAAATCTCCCTTGACTTTCTGTCCCTTAAACCCAGGTCCCTTTCCAGCTCCATTGACTCTTTCTCAAAAATATCCCTGGAATCCAGCCCTTCTGTCACTCCTGCTGCTATTAGGTCCAAAGTCTCATCAACACTTAGATAGCCTGTTACGTGAGGCTGTCATGCCAGCCTCTCCTCCAATCTCTCTAGTTCCCTGCTGCCAGACCCACACTGCACAAACTTTCTTGCAGAAGAAACTGGAGGGACTCTCACTGCCATAGGCTTCAGTCATAAGTGCCTGGCACAAAAATCAAAGCCCTTTAAATGTCCACCATACCCACTGCATACTCACACATTTTCACCAGGCAGGAGAAATTGCCATTTCTCAAGCATTATCATTACCAGACATTGTACTTATTTAGAATGTGATGGCTGGTTCTTTGAACAATGCCTAGCACATAGACGGATCAAAAACAAACAAAAACTCAAAAAAAAAAAAAAACCCACAGTTACAGGTGAATTAATTAGCCAATTAATTAATTAACAAAATATATTTTCACACTGGTCTATGTAGATGCTGTCCCTCTGCCTAAAACTTTGCTTGAAATTGGAAAAGGAATCCAGCTAGTCCTCCAGGGTCCAGATTAAATATTTACTCCTCTGTAGCCTTTCCAGAATTCTCTCAGTGTTTCCAAACCATAATCTTGTGTCTATACTACTAACAACACATTTATCAGGCTGTATTCAGAATTTACAGTTTTTCCAGATCCCTTCATTGTTCTTTAAGGGCAAGGGCAAGTATAAATTTTTATTAAAGTACAAAACTCAGTCCTACTGTTTTTATCTCCTTGCTATACCTCTAATCTGTCCACTTATCTCCTTCTCCCGCTACTGTAATCTTTCCCTAGATAACCGCAACAGTTTTCTGCTTCCGCTGCCCTATCCACCAGCATGCTCTCCGCTCAACCCTCCATCCATTCACTACATGGCAACCAGAGTGATAGTTTCTAAATTCCTATCTAATCATGTTATCTTCCACATCTGTCCTGCCATATACACATACATGCCATGCCTTACCAGTGCTCTCAACATAAAAAAAAAGAAATGAGACCCTCTCACAGCTCTCCTTTGCCCTATTAGCCTTTTATCAGTTCACAAAATGTACTGTGTTATCTGCCCATCATAAGCCTTGGTTGGTGCATGCTGTTCCTCCTAAGACTTCTTTTCCACTCTGTGCTTTTAATTTAGTTGGCTCCTACCCATCCTTCAGATTCCCATGCCACTGTCATTAACCTAGAAAAGCTCTCCCTGACCTCTCCAACTAGGGCAAAACCCCCTCCTACATACACTCTCCTATCACTAGTCTCCTGGTGCCGACTCTCATTTTAGCAATATATGAAACTTATTTATGTGATAATTTAATTTCTAACTCCCCGACTGGACTAAGGACATGTTTGCTTTTCTCAGTTTTGGATCCTTGGTGCCTTGCACAATAAATAACTGATAAATGCATGAATAAAAATGAATCAACAAATATAATTAGTTGGGAAGACAAGATATTCAGAAATAAAAATACCAAATAATATGAACGATAGTGATAAGTAATGTAGGAGTTGATAAGTATACTGTGAATGGCTGAGAATCTACTGTGATTCAGGTACTTATGTAGTGATAGTTTAAAATGTAAGCCAGGAAAAAAAATACACAAGATAATTATGTTCAAAGTAAGTGATACAAACATTGTATTTGTTAGGCACTTTCTGTTGTGAGAGGCAAAAGAAAATAAACCTCGAATAGGCTTAAGGGAAGGCAGGAAATGTAATGGCTCATTTAACTTGATGGTCAGAGAGGACAACAGCTTTAGAAACAGCTCTATTCAGGATCCATGTCCATAGGACTTGGCCTCTCTCTCTCTCTCAGGTCTTCCTTATACTATGTTAGCTTCAGCCCTTTGTCCCAACCCGGTGACAAGATGCCAGCAGCAGTTCTGCTTGCTCAACTCCTGGGTTCCATTCAGAAGGAAAGATCTGACCACCTTTTTTTCCTCCATCTCATAAAAGTCTTAAAATTAAGTGTGACTGCTTTAGATCACACAACCATTCCTAGACCAACCACCACAACTAAGGGAAAGCAATGCTCAGAGTGGCTGTGGCCTGGGTAACGGGTTTCATACTCAGAGTTGAGAACATCCACCCCACCCACATGGGCTTGGAGTGGGGGAGGGAGAGCCACTGACAAGCCCTGAGACCACTGCCCAAAAAAAAGAGACTAGGGGCTGGTGGCAGAGCCAACAGATAATGTCGAAAAAGAAAATTAGTCTGGTTCTCATCCCCAAGAGACAGGTCTCTGTGGCCTGGGTGGTTGAGGCTTTGATTCTTCCCCCTTCCTCCTGTTAGAATGATTTCAAGAATCCAGTAATTCTGCCCAACCCATGTCCAATGATCCTTCTTCCATTAACCC